ATATGTATATGTAGTATGTATTTATATGTAGTATATGCGACTACTGTGTTCAGATTAATGAATGGTTATGTCAGTGCTTCTTACATTTCATAAGATTGCCTTCACAGTTAATGTGTCTCACACGTTTTTCTTTGTTTTACTTCAGACTAGTAATATTACATATATATATTGTATTACTAGTCTGAGGTTTTACTGTTGGGGTAACTAAATTAATAGATAAGCAATCACCATATGCTTCACTGTGGGTTTCAAATTACAATGAAATTATACAGTTCATATTGTATTTTCATAATAATTGAATATATATACAACATGTAGTACATGTATACAGTCCGGACGAATTTTCTGTTTTTGTGTGTGTGTGTGTGTGTGTATTTTCGTTTGTTTGAAGATTACTGCCCAGCTGAATCAAATATGGGAAATATATTTTCCTTTTTAACATAGTATTAAAAATACAAATAAATGTCAATGTGATCGTCGCTAGTTTATCTGCACCAACTTTAGCTGTGGAATCATAGCCCTATGTTGCCGACCGCATTATTTACGTGACTGACGTCCAAATGAAATTGTTAGGACGAAATTCGATTATAGGTCGCACCAAAGAGCTACGGAACCGCAGCTACACCAACTTGTGAGCACTCTAGGGCTTAGTCTTTTCCACGAAACGAAACGAAATAAATTTATATCAAATTTGTTAACGATATCGAAAATCACCACGTCATAAAAATAAAATTCTCGAAAATATTTAGTTTGCAGCTCAATAAATACCAGTAACTAAAATGACAGCTCAATAAATAAATACGAGTAACTATAACATGGCATGACCGCCATTTCGATTCACAAAACACGGAACGACCCAAAACGAGACAAACGAACCAAAACGAGCCATACTACTCCAAGACGAGTCAAAAACGAACCAAACGGACCAAAAACTAACCAAATGAGTCACAAACGAACCAAAATTAGGAACAAAATAAAAAGGGTGAGCGATCAGCCATTTTTGAAAGGATACTTGGAACTGACAGTTGGGGCGCTATCCCCAAACGACACAATAAATTAATAAAAATCTCTTGATAATATGAGCAAGTAAATACTAAATAATTATAACACAATAAACAAACTAATGCATAATGATTTTAAGTAATAAATAAATATTAACAAAATAAACACTATACTAGATAATTATTAAAAAGTAACCAGTAAATTAACTAATTAAATAAGGCATCGCAATAATTAATTAAATACATAAATAAAGTCTGAACCTACTATTTCCAAGCTGTACTGGAAATGGAAAAACAAACAAAGGGCATAAAAAAACTGTCTAATAAGAATAAAAATACTGTAAAATTATATTAAAATTAAAAGGCGTTATTT